TCCCACATGCCACGGAGCAACTAAGCCCATGCGCCACAACTACTGAGCCTGCGCTCTAGAGTCTGCGAGCCACAACTAGTGAAGCCCGCACGCCTAGAGCCTGTGCTCCACAACAAGAGAAGCCACCACAATGAGAAGCCCGCGCACCAAAAGAAAGAGTAGCCACCGCTCACCGCAACCAGAGAAAGCCCAGGCACAAAATGAAAACCCAACGCAGCCAATAAATCAATCAATATATTAAATAAATAAAAATAAAAATGCCAGAAACTTTTGACCCGAAGAGAGCTTTACTAAAAAGGGTGGAACCATCCGTTCTTCCTCAGGGCAAGCCCTTCCTGTCATCTGGTGGCAACTCCTGGTCCAGGCGGGCCTCCTGAACTGACCCGCACTTACTCTGCCAATTCAGGGTGTGGCGTAAACACATACTTTCAGTACTTACAGCAGGGCTCAACCTTGGCACTGCTGACATTTGGGGGTGGACGCGTCTTTGTCCTGGAGGCTGTGCTGTGCCCTGGGGGACGGATGCCAGCACGCCTGGCCTCCACTCACTCGGGGCCGGCAGCACCACCCCATGTAGCAACTAAAAATGCCTCCAGACACTGCTAAGTGTCCCATGTGGGACAGAAGGCCCACGGCTGAGAAAGCCTGGTCTACGTGGTCGTGGTCACATGTTTACATGTGTCACAAACGTGAGAGTTGCAATACAGGGTCAGGCCTCCGCAGAGCAGCGCTCAGAGGTGGGAGGCAGGGGCTGCAAGAATGCTTTTCCAGGAGTGTGTGAGACACGCCCCCAAGAGACGCTGCAGAACTGTACCTTTGCTGGAAAGTCCTCGATGACTTTAACCAAGTCTTGGCACCGCTGTGCAAAGGGTTTACTTATAGAGTCGGCTTTCAGGCTAGCCTAGGAGACACAAAAAACCAAAATAAAGCGAGCACATTTGCTTTGCAGCTTTTGCTGATATTCTGGTGCGAGTCAAAACAGAAATCCAGGGACTTCCCTGGTGGTCCAGTGGTAAAGAATCTGCCGTACAATGCAGGGGACGCGGGTTCGATCCCTGGTCAGGGAACTAAGATCCCACATGCTGTGGGGCAACTAAGCCGGCGCTCCACAACTACTGAGCTTGTGCGCCTCAACTAGAGAGACCACGCGCCCTGGAGCCTGTGCGCCACAACTAGAGAAGAGAAAACCTGCAAGCCACAATTAGAGAGAAGCCCGCACACTGCAACAAAAGATCCCGCATGCCTCAACGAAGATCCTGCAGGCTGCAACTAAGACCTGACACAGCCAAAAATAAATTAAATAAATGATAAATAAATCTTTAAAAACAAATAAACAAACAGTAATCCAAGTGACGGGCAGGAATCAGACATAGCACTGGCCTGACTGCCCAGCACCTCACACATCAGGTCGTGTGTGTGTCCAGGGCCTACAGGACACCCCTAGGCGAGGCCAGGGTCCTGTGCTCTCTAGGCCAGGACTTTCCAGGCTGGCTCCCAGCTCCCTCTGTCAGGCACCCCAGCTACCTCAGAGAGCTGCACATCATGAGAACAAAATCCACCCAGATCCAATCCACAAGCAGGGGGTTGGCTCCTGGGTCAGCCCCGCAGCCGGGGGGGACCCCACACAGATCAGAGCACTCACCGTGTGTGCACGTGAATGGGAAGTTTCCCCCGGGGCTAACCACCCACCATTTATAGCCCTGTGATTGTGAGCTACCATTTGTTGTCACTGGCCCTCTGACCCAAGACGTCCTTTATCTGTTACCTTCAGAGACGCAGCAGGCCAAAAACCACAGACAGCTTCAGCCAAATGCCAACACTCTGGTGACGGAGAAGCCAGAAAACATTCAGGACAAGAAGGAAATGTACCCCAGATCAGGAGTGAGGGAAAGCTCTCGTCTTTTCTGACCACAAAGGGAAGAAGGCCCTGTGCACATGGATGAACATCAGGAGGAAAGGCCAGGTTTCTAACCACAAAGGCTTTGCCCAGGGTATCCAAGGCCCTGGCCACCTCCACACAAGGATGGGGTCCACAGGGTCTCGGTCAGAGGCAGACACCCGGCTGTGCAGGCCTGGGTCGGATCTGCTGGCTCTAGAGGGGCACTGAAGAAGAACATCCTTCCAAATACAGGTTTATAAAAAGTGCAGGCCTAGTGCCCCAGCACAGCAGCCTCCTTCCGTTTTTCACCAATGACAGTTACGGTCATTAAAACACCTCGCTTTCGTGTAAGGATTTACAAGACGTGAAAATGTGGGTGTACATCCTTCTCCCTTGCTCCTCCCCACACCCCAGGAGACTGAGGAAACGGCATTTCAATCAACTCCTCTTGTAGATGAGAAAACCAGGGCTCAGCAGCTGCATAAACCCAAGGTCCTGCACCAACAGAGGGCAGAGTCGAGCCTGAGGGTTCTCACCCGAGTCCAGTGTTATTTCCAGCACATCCCCCCAAAATGTCACCACTGGACAGTTCTTCAAGTCAGTGGCAAAACCCTCAAGTCCCTCCGCTGCAGAGCAACAATCACCCTGGCACGCGGGCGGGCAGCTGACACTTACCAGCAGGAAGCTGGGCTGCTGCAGGTGGGGGAAGGCCATGGCAGCCTCCTGGGCAGGGTCCAGACGGGCCGTCTTAGAGGACCACTGCAGAGAGACAAAGACAAAACCTCAACCTCTGCCACACAAGACACACAAGGCCAGGAGAATATCTGCACAGCTCAGCACCACTGCACTGCCAAGGCCCACGCTTTACAGAAATGCTGCTTACGTGCCTGCCGTCCACAGGGTCCAGCCCCGGAGCCAGGTCTGTGGCAGGGAGCCCTTGGGAACACTTGGTTAAGCTTGTGTGGCACTTGCCACATGCCAGGCCTGGTTCTGAGGGTTCTCCATACATTTCTCATTTAATCCTCGGTGGCAGGCAGGCAGGATTCTAGACAGCCATCCAAGATTCCTGTCTCTGGTCATTCAAACACTCTTCTAGGTGCTGCTGTGAAGGGGTTTTGCAGATACAATTAAAGTCTCAAGTGTGAGAGCCGTAAGATACAGGGCAGTCCTGACTCATAGCCAGCAACGAAATGGGGACCTTAGTTCTACCACTGCAAAGAGCTGGATCCTGCCAGCAACCTGAATAAGCTTGAAAGCAGATTCTTCCCAAGAGCCTCCAGATAAGAGCAAAGCTGGCCAACAGGTCGATCTCAGCTTTGAGAGACCATGAGCAGAGAACCCAGCTGAGCCTGCATTTCTGACACATAACCATGAGATAACCAACAGATGCAGCTTTAAGCTGCAAAGTTTGTTAAGCAAGAATAGAAAATACATCCTCATAACAACCCTACGAGGTCAGTACAGATAAGGAAATGGAGGCAGAGAGAAAAATCACTTGCTCTCCGCCAGCTGGGGAATGGCAGAGCCAAGACTCAAACCCACAGACCTCCTCACTACTCTCCCATAGAGACAGGTGGACACATCTCCTCTGTCTTACTTGTGCTCTCTGAAAAGGAAGGAAGGGGACGAGCCAGCTTTGCCAATGGAGGCTTTGAACAGCCACCAGAAAATCAGGGGTAGCTCTCCAGAATCCTACCTCTCTGTGCCCCCAATCAGAAACTGAAAATATCCAGACTCGGACTGAGCAGAGAGGGAGTATGCAAGTCTCACTGATGAGCTGCTGATGGCTTTCCTGGCACAGCTCTGCCCATGGCCTGAGGAACGGTGCTGATGCAGCAACTGGCAGTGTATGTGGATGGAGAGGCTGGGTGGGCAGCTGAGGCATTATGAACACCTTCCCATGAAACCGAGCAGAAACCTGCACACTCCCCACCCCTGTACAAAGGCCCCTCCAAGTCCCCTGCCTCTTGTTTGTAGAAAAGCTGAAGTTTCCCAGGTCTCCCTGAGTCACAAAAGAGCAGGCTCAAGCAGCTAACGATTAGGACAAGAGAGTCACAGAATCCTTCAGTGTCTGATGTACACTCCTGAGTTGTTTTACAGATACTATAACTGCCACCAGAGGGAAAAAGCCAAATGCATGATGACCAGACAGTAGCCATGACATAAGCTGCTCCATCTGTGGCTAGCACGATTCAAAAAACTGGCCTCAAGACAATGAGATTAACGTTATTGCTCATAATAATCTATATCTTTGTGGGCATCAAAATAATTGTAGCTTGCTCTGCCCAATTTTTAGTAAGCAGGCAACTAAAATTGTCAGCAAAGAGATGCCACAGACTCATGTTGACATCTTCCACTCTAAGAATACTGCGCGCTATGTCAGCATGAAGAAGTTACAGAAGATGAGCCTTTGCCCCTAATCCCACAGAAATGGAATGATGTCAGACAGTGGGGATCTGTAAGCAGCTCCTTTGCCCCGTTCCTGTTTGCCCATTTCTGTTCGCCTCAAACCTTATAGAAATGAGGTCACCAGGCAACACTTAACCTAACTCCTGACATATGCTCTACTGAATGCACATAATACCTTGCTTAACCTATTGATTCCTTCCCTAGATTAAAAGAAGTAGGAATGAAAAATTAAGTAGTTAAAGAATGACTAGCTCTTTACCCCCAGCTTCTCCCTGTGCAATCCGGCAGGAGATCACGCAGGCAAGATAACATCTGAAGAAAGCTCATGAGGAGTCAGCCAGTCCACACCCAATGGAAAATGACGCAGAGCTTGACCTTCTGCCTCGATTCTGAGATTCTTTCCCTTCTTCCCTTTAAAAACTGTCACGGCTGAGCAGAATCTTTGGAGTGCGTTCTGGGACACCAATCCACCTTCTACCCGGTTGCTGGCCTTCTGAGTAAAGCAACCTTTCCTTTGTACCAACACTTGTCTCTGGAGTATTGGCTTTTGAGCTGGGAGGAGCCGAGTCTGAGTTCAGTAACACTGAGACTGTTCAACTCCTAATTAAACTAGCTATGGGTTTCAGTTTTAAGGATGACTTAAATAAAACGTTTCAGTCCTTAACCAAGTGGTCCAGGGAACACTGCACTACTCCAAAACGATCAAAGCGACATAAAACCCTGAACTGTTTGCTAAGGGCAGAGCTTTAGAGATGATGAATTAAATGCTGCTCCTTGCTTAGAGCAAGTTTGCAGAGGTAGCGGCTGAAGGAATGAGCCCGAGGCGCCCAAGCGCCCCTCCTTGGGGAGAGGGCAGCGTCTCCCCGCCACGCCGCCTGCGCTGTGTGCCCAGCCTCCGCTTCATCCCGCCACCTCCACACCCGCTGCCTTCAGGAGCGGCTTCCGATCCGCTTTCGGGGTCCCTCCCGTGAGCTGCAGCCCCGTCAACGCCAATCTCGCCAGGGCCTCCCTCTGGCCGCGCTGCGAGCGGGGCGTGCTTCCGCCTGCCGCTCACTACTGCCCCGTGAAGGGAGCGCCGGGGCCCCCGTGTCACAGACGCGGAAACTGAGGCTCCGCAAAGACGGCCCACACCGGGGGAGGCGAGGAAGGATCGGGTCGGGCCGGGGCCGAGACCCACCCCGCTCCCTCCACACCGCTCGCTGAGTCCCAGACTCTCCCTCCTCCACCGCGCGCAGCGAACGTTAACCGCGGGCCCACCGGGGTGGGGCGTGCGAGGTGCGCGGGAAGGCGACGGGAGGGCGCAGTCCGGCCCTCGGCGCCCTGCCGGCCCGGCCCGAGGACCGGGGCTCGCGTGGGAACAGAGCTGGTTTCGGCGGAAGTTCGGGGTGGCCGCCGGGACGCGAGGCCGGACCGCGCGCGATTCCCACCATTCACCTGAAGGAACCACAGCGTCTCCAGCTTTAAGGACCGAGGCCGCCATTCAGCGACCCGGCGCCGAAATGTCGTCATCAAGCTGCGCGTGGCGTCACGTTCCCCCGGCCTAGCAGGAAATGTGCCGCCACCTCCTCTGGCTGACACAGTAAAAGGCGCGTGCGCAAAGCGAAGGACCGCCTCGGAACGCGCGTGCGCAGCGGGGAAATCAGCCGTAAGGAGCGCGCGTGCGCAAAGACGTGTCGGTGCGTTAGGGCTTCGAGGCGCGCCCCCTACCGGGGAGTCGGCACGGAACAGTTACGCTCTGGGCCCGATGGGCATTTATTGAGCGCCCACAGAATGCCCGCGCTGTACTGGGTGCCGCCACCTCGGCTAGCGCGCGGGGAAGCTCCGTCTCCAAGGGCCCGGTCTTACGCACGCCTGCAGCCGCCCGGGCCCGGGTCTGAGCGCCGGATGGCGTGGGCGCTGCGGGGAGAGGGGCGCGCAGCGGGCCGGTAGGGGGCGCGGCGGGCCGGACCGGGCGGGGCCGGGCGGAGCGGGGACCGGACCCAGCGGCGCACACCCTCTGCGGTCCGCAGATGGCGGCGCCGGGCGCGGGGCCCGGGCCGGGGCCGCCACCGGGGCTGGAGGCGGCCCTGCAGAAGCTGGCGCTGCGGCGGAAGAAGGTACTGAGCGCCGAGGAGATGGAGCTGTTCGAGCTGGCGCAGGCGGCGGGCGGCGCCATGGACCCCGACGTGTTCAAGTGAGCGCCCGGCGGAGGCGGGGTCCCGGGGGAGTCGGGGTCCCCGGGGACGGCCGGATCGGGCGAGTAGGGCTCACTGCCGGAGCGTGTGTTCTCGCCAGGATCCTGGTGGACTTGCTGAAGCTAAACGTGGCGCCCCTCGCAGTCTTCCAGATGCTCAAGTCCATGTGCGCCGGGCAGAGGCTGGCGAGCGAGCCCCAGGACCCCGCGGCGGCGCCCCTGCCCACGCCCAGCGTGCCTGAGACCCGAGGTCAGAGCCGGGCCTGGGCGGCGGGGAGGGGGACGGGGGCGGAAGGGGAGCAGCGCCTGGCACCGCGCGGGCTTGGCCGTGAGTGCAGGCCTTTCTGTTCCTCTTGTCCCAGGACAGGCTGGGCCCATCCAAGGTCTGGCCCCTTGGGCTCTCGTCCCTAGCTTCTACTTTGCTGCCACCTTTTGAGGGTGCACTTCCAGATCGGGAGGACACAGGGTGGGAGACCCAGGCAGGCTAGACCTCGTCTGGGACTTTTGCGACCCCAGTTCCTCCCCACCTTTGCTCTGAACGTTTTTATCCCTCAAACGTGGGAACAAGGTAGCTTTGGTTCCTGTCCTCATGGCCTGTATAGCCTCTGCGGAAGTCCTCAGGGAGCAGGGCGGGCAGAGGCTTTCCTGCGTGCCCTTGTTGGCACCCCACCCGGCTCAGGTCCTACCCAGGAATCTGGACAGCGAAGCTTCCATCCTTGGGCTGTGAGTGGGCGCAGCCTGGAAGCCATGGCTGGCAGGGTACAGAGGCCCGAGGGGCCTCCTCAGTCTGGAGGGTCACGGCTGGGGGATGAGCAGGTGCTGGTGACCAGGGTGTCATGATGGAGCTCTAATCCGCTTCGGGTGTTAACTTCTGCTCCCCATCCCAAAAACCCTCTGAAATGCAGCAGAACCTCCAGGCTGGCTCCTTAGCCAGAAACATCCTGAGAAGGGGCTGACGTTGGGGCAGAGGGCAGCTGGGCCCTGTGGGTGGGTGTGCCTCGGCCCTGGGCGCCCGTGACCCCGTCCTGAGAGGCCCTGGGCACTGGAGTGCAGGCCTCCTCACTGATGCACGCTGTCTGCTCTCTTTGTGTCTCTCTCTGACCTCCAGCAGCCTCCTTTCTCTCTGCCGAGAACTGTACCCCCCCCGCAAGGCCCTCCTTTTCCTCGGCCCTGCAGCCTGCGGCCTCTCCAGTTCTGCTCCACGGCCCAGCTGCCTCGCACTCGCCTCTTTCTCCGGGGCCCCCCGGTTCCCTCCGGTTCTCTTGCTGCCTGTTCTCTCCTTTTGCAGGTTGCGTTTATTGGTTTATCTCTGGGGGTTGGTACTCTCTCCTGTTTCCGTGGAAACTGCTGTGGCCCCCAGAAAGCCAGAGCAGCTTTGAGCTGCAAGGGCAGGACCCAGTGAGCCATCCCTGCCCCGCAGCTTAGGGACTGAGGGCGTGATTTCACAGCTCCGCTCACTAGAGACAAGTGCAGTGCTCACAGGACAGGCCCACACCCCGTCCCCAAAGGCTAACTCTGCTGGTGAGACTCTGTAGAGCTGCCCCCAGCCCAGAGGAGGACACCCAAGGGGCGGGGAAGGGACAGCATGGTGTGCTGTGGAGAGCAAAGCCTGAGGTGTGACAGGCACCTGGGCCTCTTAGATGTCATCACCCACCTGGACTGGTTGCCTGGAGGATCAGACCATGGGTCCCCTCAACTGCCTGGTTTCTGAGCTGGGGGTGCCTTCCAGGCACTGCCAGGCACGATGAGGCTGGTGTGTTAGAGTGTGAAATCCCATGGGAGCTCTAGCTGCACCCTCCCACGTGCCCCTCACTGCATCACCCACCTTGCTGTTCCAGGAGTGCCTGGAGCTTGGACAGGGGGCCTGAGGAGCGTGGGGACTAAAGGAGAGAGATCCCCTCACTCAGGGGTTTTGCCACTCCCTCCCTTGCTCAGTGCCAGGCCTGCTCTCAGTGCTGAGGGCACAGTGGGGCTGCAGGGTGGACACGCTGTCTGTCCAGTGGCTAGACATACCGACAGTGACGGGCGTCCAGTCTCGAAGGACAGCACCGGCCTTGCTGGAGTAGCAGGAGTTAAACAAGCTGGGGGCAGGGCCCTTGCACCAGCTGCAGAGTCCTGTGCGCTGCTGCATCCCCTGGGAGGGGGCTGAGCTAGGGTGTGGGGGGAGGGAGGGAGAGGGTGCAGTCAAGGGTGTGTTGGGGTGCGGGGCTGGGAGCACTGCATAGAGGGATGGGAGGTGGGGAGGAAGCCCCGGGCCAGGGAATGGAGAGGCATGGGGCACTGGGCCCCACATGGTCGTTTCCCCTTGAGTGCTCAGGCCATAGGTCCTGCTGGGCTGGGTGGCCACCAGCCAGGGTACAAGGGCACTGAGGCCCTGGGGAGATGCCCAGTGGAGGTAGAGGGCAGATAAGGGGCCGTGCCAGGAGTACACTGAGGCCGAGAGGCAGAGGCCACCAATGAGATAGATCTCTGAGGCTGCATGTCAAAGCATCTCTCCACACAGATCTCTGGTCACCTGGTTAATGGCAGGATCTGGGTAGAGAAAATAAGGAGCATTGTCACAGAGTAAGCAATGGGGGACCTTGGTGGTCTAGGCTGGTGGTGGGGGTTTGGGAACGTTGGAGCCAGCTGGCCTTAGGTTTCCCTCAGAATCGGAGTGAGATTGACCCAGACCAAGGGCTGGAGCCCCACTCAAGGGCTTCGCTCTCTGGGTTCCTGGCCATCCAGGTGCCCTGTGGGACCTGTCAGGCTCACCATTTCTGTCCTGAGAGCTCAGGGGGGTTAGGCTTGTCTTCGTAAGGACGTGGAGTTAGGTTCAGTTGGGTGCTGTTGAAGTTTAGGGAAACCACACATTCTAAAAAGATGTCCCCCCCAGAAAGCATAAGGTGGAGTCTGGTGTGTGGAGCCATGAGGACAGGTACCCGAGCGTTGGCACCAGAAGGAATGGACACCTCATGGATAACTTTTATACTGATTACCCGCTAAAATGACATACTGGATGTTTGGGTTAATTGAAACATTTAAGTCAATTTCCTGTTTCTTTTACTTTTTAACATGGCTCTTAAAAAAGCTAAAGACCACGCAGGTGGCTCGCAGCCCATCTCTGGGGGCAGCACAGCTGCAGAGCACTCACACTGAGCTTCTCCCCAACACGGCATCGGGCCGTGTGCCTGGAGGAGTCACAGGCATGTCCATGTGGGGATCACCTCCCCAGAAGTGTGGGCTGAGTTAAGGGTTAAAGCGCACACGTGCAGTCCGTGTTGTGCATTGTTCTGTCTGTATCTGTTCTGGAAGCACCGATCAAGCCCCTGCTGTGTGCTCTGCACACCCCTGGCCGCCCGCTCATCCTGGCCACCAGACCCCGCCAGCTGGCCTTGCAGATAGCAGGGCTGTGGTGTATTCTTTCCCTCTCATTTCTCACCCACCCGTCCCCCCACCCCTCCGCACACAACATGCCTTCAGTGTTGGCTCACAGCCGGTCACTGACATTTGGCCTCAGCAGCCATCTGGTCTGTGTGACTCCATAAGGGGGTGCGCCCACCACCCAGGAGAAAGCGCTCTGGGGCTTTCTATAATTCTCATTCCTGCCCAGCTCTGTGGCAGAACTCTCAGGGTGGGTGATCAGGGATCCCGGGGGGCCACTCCAAAGGTCAATGGCAGAGTGGGTCCTACCTGGTCTGGGTGGTTCCCCAGCTTCAGGGCCCCCCCCTGAGTCACGGGTGGCAATGGGCTGGTGAATTTGGGGCATTTGCTTCATTAGGGGGCATCCAACACTGAGTGGCCACAGCTGGTTTCAGGGGTAGGAGGGTAAACCGGACTGTTTTTAACAGACACCCTTATCTGTCTTTGACCCTTAAGAGGGCCCCACAGGAACCAGGCCTGGGAGCATGTCCCCACCACCCCCACCGCAGCTTGTGGTCACCCTTGGCTCAGCCCCAGTCCTCACTGCATTCCATCGGACCCTAATAACCCTGTCAGGAGGGAGCTGGAGCAGGCCTGACGAGCTCCCAGATGCCCCTTGCTGGGTCCACTGGGCTCTGCAAACCTTCTTGACCTCCACAGCCGCGTGTAAAATGAGGCCTGAGTGGGTCTCCCCACGAATGCCCAAAGCATGTGATTCCTTTAGGGTTCTAAGAATCACACTGAGCTGGATAAATGGGCTATTTTCATCCTTAAAATAGTTTTCTTTGACACCTTCTATGACTCAAAGTTACGTTGGTTTCTTACTTCC